TCAGTAAAGTGTAGATGAACTGTGTAAGGATGAAGATCGACTTGGTCTTGAGCGTTCGGTGGTCAAAGCGCTCGTCGGGAGCGAGCACACCCGTGGCTCGGGTCAGGCGGAGCACCAGGCGGTGCAGGGCATTCTTATGGTCCTTCGCCAGCCAGCGCAAGCTTGTCTGCAGCTCCGGGTCGGCTTCTAAACGGGCCCTGTCCAGAATTTCGATTTTCACGTAGTACATGATTTGCCAAGCCAAGTACACGACGGCCGCGGGGAGGAGGTCCTTGACATCCATTGACCCACAGGCGTCCAGCGTCGCAGCTGCTGATGGTGAGGAGGGGTACCATCTGAGTGCATAAAGGAGGAGGCCCGGGTAAACGTGGATGTATAGGCTGGTGATCTTCTCCAAGTCATGGAAGACCAGACTGTTGCGCCACACAGGAACCGCGAAAGCCAGCGGCCCATTCGCGAGCAAGAAAATGGACTTGAGCAGGTTGCAGTTGGATGGGAAAGCGTAGAGCTGAAGTATGCATAGGACTTGGACAAAATAGCCTGGAGTGCGTGCAGGTGGAAAAGCGAACAAGAACAAGGGGCAGGGAGGGCGGTCATGAGGTCCCGAGAGTATGGGTCTACCCTGCGCCATAAACGATACATGATCGCGACCCAGTCGAATCTCAGCAATGTTACCTATATCACCAGATTAGATCTTCATTGCTTGTATTTCTACGCAGCTGACGCACATGCACGTGAACCCCTCTACTCAATAGCGGCTCCCAGGCACTTACAGAAGTCGAGGAGGAAGAATCCCCACTTGAGAGAGCGGTAGTGCGGGATGCGGAAGAAGACCAGCACTGGAATCACAGCCATGTACCAGGCCCAGAAGACGTGAGGGAACTTGATGAGCATAAACTCGCTCACTGTCAGGTTGAGCACGCCGAAGGTGAAGGCGAGCTTATCCAGGCGCCGGGCCACGGGGGGTTCTCGGATGTGGTCCCGCACGCGCTTCATCTCGTCGCCCGTCACGGCCTTGCGCCAGCGCTTCTGCACGCTAGCCCGCAATAAAGCCGTAAGTTGCCGGCGCTGGTCCGCGATTCCCGCCTTGACCGAGCTGCTGGCGGCCTCCCCCTCCAGCTCCTTCAGGTCCCCGATTACCCTCCTCAACACCTCCCCGTTCATCGTCGCTGCTTCACTTGCCGCCGCTACCGTCGCCGCTGCACTCGTCAAGACATCTCTGTCGGGGTCGCCTTTCAACATATACATCCACAGATTCGACGAGAGGAAACCGAATAAGAGACATGCATGATTTCCTCATGCCCATCCCGGCCGTGTATTTGGCATAAGTCCTTTCCCGCCAAATTCCTTACCCGCGAAAAGAAGGCCACGCTCATTGATCTTGTTAGAAGTATACATCATTGAATCCGGACTAGCGGGTGCGGATACGCCCGGAGACGCGGATTCTTCCATGGACTCCGATGCGGGCGCCCCGCCTCCTCTGTCACTGCCTTCGCCGTTGCTCATAATCGTGTTGCAGATCCCAGATTCGATTCTCTTGCCAGCGCTCCAATTAAGTCGTCTTCCTCTTTTGCCGTTTGTAAGGCTACAAATTTTGAACCAGACCCCCCCAAAATGCGTAGTCCAACGAGAACACCGCCTCTTGCAGGAACAGAGATGAAGCAAGGAGGGGAGGAAAACACGGACAGATGAGTCGTGATACAAAGTTCCAGTCCAGTGTAACCACACAACTCTATTCACCGCCTAAATCAAGACGTACGACGCGCCGCTTTTCTGTAGACATTGACGGCTTTTCAAACTCCATTGATGGTACTGTTCTCACGGCCTTTGCCATCCGGTCATACATCTTCAAGGACTCGGAGGGGAGAACGAGCGAGAGCTAGGAAGGGCGAAAGCCGCCAAGCTAAGAACGCGAAAAAAGCTTCGAGGCCTTTTTGGAAAGAGAGACTGGCATGTCAAAGTCATGGTAATAAATAAAATGCTTCCTATGGAATTAAACACTTATTTGATGGTGGAAGTTAATGCAGTACGCAATCAAAAGGGATTCCATTCGTAGTCCATATCTCTTTGAAAAAAAGCGGTGAGGACAGACGACTGAGGAAAAATTCCGTAAATATCTCCTGATACGGAGCGATACCCTCATATTTAGGGAACGATTACGTCCGATCAAGGAAATGGACGTAAGCAGTGGACAGACGTAATCGGTGCCTGGTAGGTTGAAGGGCCGACTCTCGCCCGAGGGAGGCATGCACGAGTTGCTGCCTCGGGAGGCATGCTTTAAACCGTGGATCACGAGTCATGGCAGCGACACGGCATTAATTTCGTGTGACTTGGCTCTTTCAAATCATTATTTTTGTAATCTCTTTTTTCAGTTGACATTCTTATAGTACAGAATGCGAATAGCATGCTACGCTCCAGGCCCGGGCGACTTCTCTGTGAGAAAGGTACCTGCCATTCCTCCTTGAAGTTTCTCGATCTACTGACCTCACATCCATCGAGACTATCTCATAGCATGATCATCGCCCGCACACTCCTACAGTCTAAAACAGCGCTTTATTGACAAGGCCTCTAAAGGCTCGTCATGACCACGGCTGCGCTTTTCGAGAAGAATCAGGTGGCCCCGCCTGCCCCATCATCTTCCGGTCGTACCGGACGCTAGTGTCTGGCGACTCCTTGCTCCCATCTTTGCTGATACCCTCCCGACAGGTGCTGCTACATACCCTGATGGCCATGGCACCCTGAGAGCTGTCGTCACAGAAGAAAGGAGCTCTTTCACTACCGTCGCCGCTGCAGCTAGAGCTGATGGTGCTGATAGTGCTCTTGGTACTATCAATGTTACTACCATGCTCGAGCACCAAGTGTGGTCTGAGCTGGTCCTCATCGGAAACAAACCCCTCTGGCTCCAGCACCTCGGTCACCCTGAGACCGCGATCCATCCCACCGTCCGCGCTGCCCTCCCCCTCCTCCTCCTCCTCATTCTGCCCTGTCTCCTCCTCAACATCAGTCGACCCCTCTCTTTCGTCAGGCCAGCAATTCCTTGACGCCCCTGCCACCTCCTCCTGTTGGTGCTTCCCGCGTCGAAGGCGCGGGGACTGCTGGTGGTTAAGAGGCTTGGAGATGGAATGGTGATGGGTGTAGAGGGTGCCGAAGATGGAGTCGAGGAATTCGAGCTCAGAGAAATTGTAGTCAATTCGAAGGTGATGGTCCCAATGATACCTGGTGAAGTGACGGCGTGTGTCGTGTGAGGAGTCATGAGTTTGTCGGGTGCTGCCAAGGACGGGATTTGAAGAGGTCAACCTTCTATCATAAAGTCTCACCGTCATGAGCTTTCGAGCAACAACTTTCTTGACTTCTATTCCCTGAGCTCACCCTCCTGATCAGGCCGGGGGCGACCCTCCTTACCTGCCGTCGACGATGGTCCCCGGGATGTAGAAAGCCGAGTGGTCGATGGCCGCGCCCACGCCGTTGATGAACGCAAACAGCACATGGAAGTGCCAAGGAAGAGGGTTGAAGAGCTGAGCGAAGAGAAAGACGCCAAACACTTCCATGAGTACGAACTCAAGAATGCTGTCCTGCCAGGCGGATAGCGCGCAGAAGTCGCGGATGCGGCAGTGATGGCGCTTGTGCACGGCGCGGTAGAGGAACTTGCTCTCATGCATGAGCCAATGCACACCCATGGCCCACAGGCGGTTTATCACGTTGTTGATGATGGCAGCCCCGAGCAATGCTGCGACGCGCACGCCGTTTTGGCGCCAGTCCGCGTGGGGGAGCAGCGGCTCGTAGAGCACTGCCTCGTAGACATAGCCGAAAGCCAGCAATGACGGGCCTAACAGACACACCACGTCAAAGAAAAAGGATGGCGCATGCTGCACGTAGGTGTGCCAAGTGCTACGTTGATACTTGAGACTGTACTTGTCCCACCGACCAGAGATGTCGTGATAGGCAATGAAGAGCACCGTCAGCAGATGGCTCACGATCAAAGTAAGACATACAACCCACGAGAACCACAAGGCTCGATCCATAGCTGGTGATGAAACGAGATTCGACAACCCTTCGTTTCCTTCTCCTCCGTCACCTCCACTCCTTCGGCCCTGCCAGTCCGTAGAAGCGTGGCTGACGTCGTTTCTCCACACCGGGAGACCAGAGATTGAGAGCAACCAAAGCTGCAATAAATTACGAGCTGTGTCCAAACCCATGGGTCTGGCAACCCAGCCAGCTGGGATAACTTGAACTCCCCTTCCCCCTCCAGAGACGCCTGCCTACCTGTCATATGCATGCGGACGGAGGCTGGTGAGTGCGAGGCAAGGGTCTATTTGACTTGGCGAGATGTGAGGTGCCCACGAAGTGGACTACTCTTCGACAGGTATGTCAAAGGTTCAAAAGAAAAAAATATCTGCGAAGTTTGCCCAATTTTGATGCATTCAGTGCGCGCATGATACCCCATGGGGTCCAGGCCCGTCAGACGGGGATTTGCAGTGTGGCGATGGTCCACTGGCGAAAGTCACCACAAGAAGTGTGGATGAGCCAAGGACTCATTTAGGGCGCACGGGCGCCGTTGTAATAAATACACATATCTTATGTAAAGGGCAAAGCAAGGTTGCCCCCGCGAGGAAATGGAGTGCCGGACATGAGGCGCGAGGCAAGGCAGGGACGGGGTAAGGAATTTGATTTCAGTTTGAACGGACAGGGAGCTTGCGCCGGCAGGAGGGAGGGGGGAGCTGTGAGCGGCCAGCGCCACCCACAATGCATCACGCGTATAGATTAAGACTAGAATTTTGTAGTCGAATTAGGACCATTGTTTTCTTGAGCGCAAATGGAGGTAGGCGTTGAAGTGGGTTTAAAACAGGTGGTGGCTGGCAACGTGTTCCAGGTGAACGGCACAAAAACCGTTAGCTACTACTGACTAGTCGTAGAACATACGATGTGTGCGCATTGCGATTTCACGCCAAGCTTTTCACAGTACCGCGTAAAAGAAATCCACTATGTGTTGAAAGCCAAAGTTCACTGTGTTTCTTAATTTTCGCGTGCGATGCGATCCAAAAAGACAGATACTAGTTAATCTAACCTTCGTTTTATATGTCGAGCTCTTAATGGAAAAGCCCCAGACATAAATTTCTGGCTTCGCAGCAACCGTCTTCCTGGTGACAAGTGTTATCGTCGAGGAATTACCTACGGTGCTGTCATACGATATACAGTGATCGGCGTCTAAAACAGGATCTTGTACTTTTTCATTGCATATCAATGCACAAGTATCAATTTGCCGCTCGTAATCAGATCTGTTGTAGTTCTATCTGATTTTTCTGGACTGTATGCGTTTTTCCGAGTGCTGCGATCCGTTGGCGCTACGTTGCAAAATTGCACACAACAAAAGTCAGGCCTCCAACGTGGTCAATGCCTCCCCTCTACCACTCGTACTTATTTCACTGTCTGCGCTTTCACTAGTTTTTGCGCTACTGCTTCCGAAACATACAGCAGAGGATCCGGCGATGTGCTGCTGTCCATTAAGGGCACGGGCAAGCTCTTCAGGCGTGGTGTGGAAGAGTTCCACGTATCTGGTTCCGAGCATGGATCGGTCCTTACTTTGTTGGGCAGAACGGGCATCTTCCACACTTGAGAATGAGACGAAGGCCTCACCCGTCAAGCGGCCATCCGCGCGCAAGATGAGTTGGATGTCGTCCGAAAGCACGGTGAAACCTACCATGTGGGTTTAAAAGGGGATTGATGGAAGAGAAATCAACCAATTGATCCACCTTACACGCCTAGATCTTGACCAAAAATCAACATCACCCACCTTCGAAAAAAGCTCGAATGTCGGTGTTACTGCATGTGAAAGGAATTCCGCGAAGCTTCAGGATGCCGGAATTTTGTGCCCTCTCTGTCGCAGCAATGGCAACCTCACGAGGAATAGTAGGTGCAGCAACGTTTTGCCCCTGGCGTGCAGCGAGCTTCCCTGTCTCCCCTGGTCTTTCGGTATCTGCAAGGCCAGTAGTAGCAGGACCGAGGCCAGCGCCGGGGACAGTCTGGTATGATGGCTGTTGGTACGGAGTCATCTGTAATGCCCGATGCAGGGTGTGCGCTTGGAGGTGCGCTTGTGGATGTTGATACGGCTGATTGGGGTAGAACAGGGCAGCGTTGAAGTCGTGGAAAGACCCTTCTTGACTTCTCATCGTTCGCCAGGCGAAGCCGTGGACATCTCCACGGAAGTGTAATCTATCAAGTTTAGCAAAGTTTTGTATGAGTGCACGTGTTTTAAAAAAAGGATGAATGAAAGCTCGTCGTACCTGCGGTAATAACCTTCCTCTGTGCGTTGGCGTACCGCGTGGTAGTAGTCAACACGCTTGGCCACGAAAATTTCTATGTATCTCCTCCCCATGTTTTGTCTGATAGATAGGGTAGAGATGTCAAGAAGTCAGTAAGTCAGAAAAAAGACGGTAGCTAATCCTACTTATCCTCGCTTCTCCACAAACCTGTCTTTGCCTAGACCCAGTTGCATATCCATGAGGGTGTTAAAAAGTACAATGCATTCGCCCTTGCTTGTCATCACCACGTCCAGTACTCCCATTCCCTAGCAAAATTTAGAGAGTCGGAGGTTGAGAAGGTGTGTCTGCCGATGCAATCACTAGCTGGAGTAACTCACATGGAAAAAGGTGATGACGTCCCGGACTCCCGCGTCGAAAGGCAGGCCTCGGAGTCGTAGGGCTGGAAAGGGACCCAGAAGATCCTCCAATGTCTCTTCTGTATCTCTGTCTACAGCTTCGCTGTACTCGAGCGGCCCCATATGGATCGGGGGGTAATCTTCGCCCCAAATGGATATTGAGTGGGAAGTGTAAGCATCAAGGTGTCGGTCCGAGCCTTCACCTACATCATGCGCTTCGACCAACAGTATGAGCAGCTCACTCTTCTTTTCCCCGAACAAGATCGAAAAGATCAAATTTAAGGTTGACACCACACGTCTTCAGGCTTTCCAATCATTGGCACTTGTTAATTTTATGCAAGGGGGAATGTCGTTTTTAACTTACTTGCAAACTGTCGCATGTGTGCATCTGAGGGCCAGAGGTGCGATAAAGCGGAAGACGACATGGTTTGAATGGGACCAAATGGGGATACAAGTGCTTGTCCTGGGGTCATGCCGTACTGGATAATGGAATAGATAATACGTCGGGTGTGAATTGCCACGGCGGTGCACAAAATTATTTTCACAACGCAGGTTAGTCTTGAAAAAAAGGGGCTACTTCTCGTCAAGAAAAAAAGATAATGCGCTAAAGTCTATTCCAAAACCAATAATGTAAACCGTGGGACCCTCTCCATGCGAACACTGCATACCCGTACCATCTGAGGATGCAACGGTGAATATTCCACTGCGCCTTGATGGGGCGCATCGATGCTAGATTGATTGAAATTTTGACGTTCCATGGTATTTCAATTTAAAATGGCTATACCATATCTTGATAAGTTAAAACGAAAGGCGTGGTGTACAAGCGGCCCTACGAATGGAATCTGGGCCCTGCCGGAAATAGGGAAGGGGAGAGAATTATCTTAGGGATGATTCGATCACACACTGCCTGCCAGAGAAAAAACAATATTGTGGTTGAGACGATTGCCTTTCTTCAGCACTCCGGTCACAGCATTAGAAAAGTACAAATCGACTCCCGGCGTCGTCGGTATCGATTATTGATACGTTTTCGGTTATTGCACAAGGCGGGACTCGCATGTCTCCGGGGACCGGACATTTCCTGAGTTTCTCCGAACAGAACAACGCGGTGTATGGGCGACTGGATGCGGTTGAATGAATCGTTTGCCTATACTATGAATACATAAGTAAAAATGTTCAGTCTGCTTATTTATCGCAGAAACTACTCTCTATTCAGAACCTAAAATTCATACTTTCGAGAGTAGCAATGAAGATACGTCCCTTCCTTGCGTATGCTACATGCATATGTATCGAGCTTGAATCTAAATTTGATTCAAATAAATAATCTGAGCAGCAACACGTTTTAATCGAAAAGCATTGGTTCGTTGCATGTTAACTTCCGCTTTTAAGTTAAAATTATTCACAAACGGATCATCCTTCTTTCACCTGTGTAGCGTGTGTCTCCTGTAAGTAGTTTGACTCTCTTGTTACTTTCATTATCTCCTACCTTATCAAACAAAACATTATGAAAGAGATCTGCCTTGCAAATCCCTTTCCGAAATGTTCTCACGTGACATAATCTCAACACTTTGATTGCTCTGGAAATCAAAATAGAAATGATCTTCTGCGTTCAGGTTAATTAAATGGACTGAGTGCCCGCAACCCACATGTTTTCGTACCTAAAACTGGCAAAACTCTTTACAAATAAGCCCAAATAATAATTGATAGCTGTATTAAAAAGGTTGAGCCCCTTTGCATGCATTTTTACGACGTCTATGCTCACATTGAGCGTAATCTTTACCATTCATCGTCAGCGAAGCCTGCGCAGCATGCGGTGAGAAAAGACATATTACACGATTAACACTGAAAAGAGTGTGGCGCATGTTGTGAGGGATGTCATTCAAAGTAAATTTTGAAGGGCACCGTGACCAACGACATGATGCATGCCGCCTTTTACGTCCATTCCAAACTTTCCGAGCCCCCGGAAAACCTAGTGCTCCCGTGCGGTTTATCGGAAATTGCTCTTATGATTATCACTCTTTCTTTTTACGTAGAATCGTGCTGTGCATTCTACCATTGCAGTGCTCCTTTCCACGTGGCTTCAAGCGACACTGGGTTGAAACTTTGACCTTGCTACAAGCGGTCATGGATCGTCGACTTTCATGCACAGCTCATATGTGGTGCGTTGACCTTGTTGCATCGGAGTAAGAAGTGGCTTGGTAGGGTGCCACAGACCCTCCTACCACGCTCGTGTACACTTGCCCTCCCCTTCCTCCGCCCACTCGGTTACCAGTCACTGGGAACCCACCCATGCGGAGATATATGCCGTAAGCCACGCCCGCACCAGCCAAGACCAGCGCCAGGAGAGACCCAAATATCCAGCCACCGGTCGAGCCCCTGCGTTCTGAAGTGTCTACACCGCTCAAAGGCTTATTTTGATGGCTATCGTTATTTTGATGGCTATCGTGACCTTTGCGAGGGGCCGACGACGGGGCGAGGACAGCGTCATTGCTCACGCCACCCACACCCGCGCCTTCTCGGGGTTTCTCGCCTAGGACGGAGGCCTTGCCCTGGCCGGGCTTCTGCCAGACACGGACGGACTTGACCTGCAAAGCAGAGTCTCTGCCAGCCCAGCTCGGATACCATTCATCTTTTGCTTTGGCAAAGAGGTAGGGGGCCCCCTTGCCCGTATTAGTCCACGGCTTTCCGTCGTCGCCGTCCTCGAAAAAGTTGCTTAGTCCCCCCACGGCCACGTTGAGGACCAGGTAGAATGGTTGGTCGAAAGGAGCCGCATTCGGCCGGCCGATCCAGGGATTGCCCGTGCCCGGTACGTCAGCGAAGTCGCCACGCTCGAAGAATGGGCGGTCGAACTTGACCTCAAGGACCTTCTGGTCTTCTCTGTCAAGGTAGGTGTAGAGCCCCTGCTCGTTCCACACCATGCCGAAGACGTGAAAGTCGTCGTTAAAAGTACCTTTGCCCTCCGGTAAAGTGAAGCTCTCGCAAGTCATCTCGTACTTGTCGAGCGCGAAATAGGGTCCCCAATGCATGCAGCTACCGAAGGAGTCGTAGCCGCCTTTCACATACCCAGGCTTGTTCCCCCGCGACTCCATCACGTCAATCTCCCCCGACGCAGGCCACTGTCCATATACATTCTTCTCAGGCAGCAGCCAGATGGCGGGCCAGAGCCAGTCTCCTCGTGGCAGCTTGGCCTCCACCTCCAGGCGCCCGTACTGGAAGGTGAAGGTGCCTGTGGTCCGGAGGCGCGCTGACTGCACCGGGTTGATGACCAGCTGCGCCCCGGCGTCGGATATGCGTTCGCAGCCATAGAACGCGTTGGACGTGCATGCATCAGAGGGCCACATGCCCCACATGTCGAAACGAAACGGCTTCTCACCCATCATGTTCGCCTCCCCGATGGTCTCCTCCGTGAGCGTTGGCTGCAGGTAGAGCACGCCTTCCTCGACAAAGCTGTTGCTGCGATTGTTCGTGTAGTACTGGAATTCCCAATTTCCACCACCCGCCATGGTGATGTCATGTGCCCATATCTCCATATCCAGCTCCTCGAATGTGTCCTCGAACACCAACACTTCCGCTTCAGCCCCTTCCACCGCCCTATCCCCCACGCTCTTTTTTGAAAGCGGAGCCAACGAGCCTTCACCTCCTCGACCTCCTCCACTTTCATCCACGCCGCCTAAATTTTTCATACCGAGATTTTCTTCCCGCGCTTGCACTAGAGCCTCGCGCTCCGCCAACTGTGTGCTCGTGCAAGTGATGGAGACGGAAAATGGACATATGCAAAGTCAGACACGCCACAAGGTGCGGAACCGTCTCGGCTTCTCGATCTTAAAAACGTATGTGTGGATATATAGCATCGTGAGGCGGAAACCGCTGAGTAACAACCTCCTGGAGATTTCGAGAGGTATGAGGCTGGCCTTCATGGTTTAGTGAGCTTTACCTCAATGCGCCATTGCTCCAGCGCTTGAAGCCTCCTTTCAATTGTGGCAGCTGGGTTTACATCCGAGGTTGATGGCCTGATAAGATTATTGACGGAGGAAACCATTATCA